AACCCCACCCACCCTGGAATCACCAACCTGTTCTCTGTATCTAAGGCTTAGTTTTTTGTTGTTGTAGATTCCACATATAAGAGATCATAAAGTATTTGTCTTTCCCCGTCCCATTTATTTCACTTAGCATAATGCCCTCAAATCCATCCATGTTGCCTCTAATGGCAAGATTTCATTCTTTTTACAGCTAAATAACATTCCATTGTATGTATATACCACATTTTCCTTACCTACTCATCCATCCATAGACACTTAGGATATTTCCATACCTTGACTATTGGAAATAATAACTGAAGTGAACAAGGGGTGCATATATTTTTTTGAGTTAGTGTTTTTATTTTCTATGGATAAATACCCAGAAGAGGAGTTGATAGACTATATGGTAGTGCTACTTTAATTTTTTTTTAAGTACCTCCACACTGTTGCGCATAGTAACTGTACAGATTTACACTCCCACCAACAGTGCACAAGGGTTTCCTTTTCTCCACATCCTTACCAACACTTCTTTCTTTTTGATAACAGCATTCTAACAGCTGTGAGATTCTATCTCATGGTTTTAATTTGTACTTCCCTGATAATTAATGATGTTGAGTACCTTTTCATGTACCTGTTGGCCACTTGCATGTCTTCTTTGGAAAAATGTCTATTCAGATCTTCTGCCCATTTTTTAATTGTTTGGATTTTGCTATTGAGTTGTATAAGTTACTTATATTTTGGATATTAACCCATTTTCGAATATATGATTTGCAAATATTTTCTCCAAGTCAGTGAGTTGCCTTTTCATTTTGTTGATGGTTTTCACTGCTATACAGAAGCTTTTAGATTCATGTAGTTCCACTTGTTTATCTTTGCTTTTGTTGCTCTTGCTTTTGGCATCAGACTAAAAAATTCATAGCCAAGGCCTATGTTGAAGAGCTTACTGCCTATGTTTTCTTCTAGGAGTTGTGGTTTCAGATACTACATTCAAGTCTTTAACCCTTTTTGAGTTAATTTTTGTGTAGGGTGTAAGATAGGGGTCCAATTTTCCCAACACTGTTTATTAAAGAGATTGTCCTTTCCCCATTACATAGTCTTAGTTCCTTTGTTGAAATCAACTGACCATATATATGCATGGGTTTATTTCTGGGATCTCTATTCTGTTGCATTAACCTAGGGGTCTGTTTTTATGCCAATACCATACTGGCATAGACTTGTAATAGTTTGAAATTAGGGAGTGTGATGCCTCCAGCTTTGTTCTTTCTCAAGCTTGCTTTTGCTATATGGGGTCTTTTGTGGTTCCACACAAATCTGGGGATTTTTTTTGTTCATTTCTATGAAAAACATGCCATTGGAAATTTTGATAGGGATTACAGTCAATCTGTAGATTACTTTTGGTAGTATGAACATTTTAACAATATTAAGTCTTCCAATCCATGAACACAGAATATTTTTCCGTTTCTTTGTATCTTCAACTTTTTTCAGTAATGTCTTAAGAGTTTTCAGTGTACAGAGCTTTCACCTCCTTGATTAAATTTATTCCTAGGTGTTTTATTCTTTTTTATAAAATTGTAAATGGGATTCTATTCTTAATTCTTTTTCTGATAGTACATTATTAGTATAGAGAAATGCAACTGATTTTCCTGGCTAGGATTTCCAACTATGTTGAAAAAAGTGGCCAGAGTGGGCACCTTGTCAGCTGGCACCCCTGATCTTGGAGGAAAAGCTTTCAACTTTTCACCATTGAGTATGATGTTAGCTGTGGACTTGTCATATATTTCAGATATATGATTTGGTGCTTTATTCCACTGAGGTACATTCCCTCTATACCCACTTTGTTCTGAGTTTTTATCATAAATGGATGCTGAATATTGTCAAACGCTTTTTCTGCATTTACTGAAGTGATCACATAATTTTTATCCTTCATTTTGTTAATGTGATATACCACACTGACTGACCTGTGAATGCTGAAACATCCTTTCATTCCTGGAATACATCCCACTTGATCATGGTGTATGATCCTTTTGATGTATTGTTTAATTCGTTTTGCCAATATTTTGTTGAGAATTTTTGCATCTCTTTTTATCAGGGATATTGCCTATAATTTTCTCTTCTTGTGGCATCCTTGTCTGGTTTTGGTATCAAGGTACTGCTGGCCTCGTAAAATTAGTTTGGAAGAGTTCCCTCCTCTTCTATTTTTTGTAAGAGTTTGAGAATTGGCATTGAGAAGGTTTGGTAGAATTCACCAGTGAAGCCATCTGGTTGTGGACTTCTGTTTGTTAGAAGGTTTTGATTACTGACTCACTCTCTTAACTAGTAATTGATCTGTGCAGGTTTTCTATTTCATCTTCATTCAATCTTGGTAGGTTTTATGTTTCTAGAAAAATATCTAGGTTATCCAATCTGTTAGCATATAATTGTTTATAGCAGATTCTTATAATCCTTTGTATTTCTGTGGTATCAGTTGTAACATCTTTCATTTCTTTTTTTCAATTAAATCTGGTAAAGTACAGCAGTAAGCTTTTTTATATTGCAACATCTCCACAGTTGTTACTTGGTAGTAGTAGAACAGAATCTTAATCATATTTGCTAGCACAGACTTTAACATTTTTACCCATACATAGAGTGTTATAACAAGACTATAATTAATCAATCAGTATTTTAGAATGTTTTGATTTGTTTTCTAACCTTGTTCCATAACTTTGTTCCATTTATACTATACAAGGAAACTGAATTTTCCTTAAAAATATAAAGGATTTCATCAGTGAATCCATTTGGTCCAGAAACCTTTCTGATGGCTAGTACTAATACTACTTTCCCCATTTCTCACCCAGCAGTACTAGTCTACCTCTATAAACTTTAATAGATTTGTATGAAGTCTATCTCATTAAGTGTTTTTGTCCTGACTGGATTTACTAGAAATATATCCTTTTTTTTCTATCTTGAATTTAACAATTTTATTATATTTTCTTAGTTATTTGTTCTTCTCTTTACCATTCTTCCTCTACTTGTAGTTTTTCTTTATCTAAAAATTTTGGTTAAATAATGAACTCATTTGATTTTACATTATTTATTTAAATAAAAAGATGGGAAGGTGACATTACATTGGTATAACCTACATACTTAGATATATAATGTACTGATTCTCATTATTTTATAGTCTATTACTGGAGTCTTCTTCCTTGACCAACACAAATGTTTTTAAAGAGAACATAGCCCTGGCTGGTGTGGCTCAGTTGGTTGGAGTGTCGTCCCATACACCAAAGGGTTGCGGATTCAATTCCCAGTCAAGGCACATACCAAGGTTGCAGGTTTGATCCCCAGTTGGGCACGTGCAGAAGGCAACCAATCTCTCCCCTCCCCCCAAAATCAGTATAAAAACCAAAAGCATACCCTCCAGTAAGGATTAAAAAAAAAGAGAGAATATAGATTTTATTTTTCATTCCCAAATGACTTAGAATCCATAAAAATAAGATGTATTACAATTAGAAAAATTTTCACAAAAATTTTCACAAGACTTGTCATTGAAGAGCTATTTTCAGTACTTAAAATACACTAACCAAATGCTCTTTCAGTAAGTTTTTAAAAAAAGATAAACAACTATCCACTACCTAATATCAGTTATACCGAGAAAAGACTGGAGAGAAATATTCTAAAATATTAACATTACTCATCTATGGCGGGATTATGGAACAATAAACTTTTGACATTCCAAAATATCTCAGTCCCTTCTATGCTGGATAAGCTAGTCAAATCTATAACATCAACTTGCTATTAGAAACATGTTTTTACATTTTTAATACTTGAAAATAAAAGAAATCTGAGAATGATTATTTTAATTTTTTTTCATTTGAAAGCACTCCATTCTAAAGGGATTTCAAGCAGGGGAGTTCCAGTCATATTGTGACTCTCACTACAACAACATCTCTACCATGGTTTGAGCCTGGTCCCAGTTTATTACTCACTACTGATAAGAAAGGTATCTATTTGTTCTCCTGTTCATCCTGTGTCCTCCACAGATCACTTACTCTACTCTAGATCCTCAACTGCAATAATTCTTTAACCTCATGAAGACAACTACCCTACATTTACACTTTTTATAATTCCTTTCTTACTTGTATTTCCCTCTTTACCACTCTGAGAGATCACAGTCATCCTTATAATTACTATTTTGCAAACATTTTTAACTTTCTTGCCCTTTTCTCCAACTATTTGTCTGGCAAAAGCTCAGTTCTAGTTGAATCTTCTCCTCATCTGAATCCAAGCAGGCAGCGCACTGATGAAGAAAGCATAGGTTTAAAGGGGAAGACAAAGCAGCAAAGAAAACTGAAAGAGAATAAATAGCCAGAGGAGCAGAAAGAAAAGCAGAAGCCAAGAAATTATTTTTAAGAATTTATGCAATGGTTAACAGCATCAAATGCTATTTATTGCATGCACCTAAGATAAAGACAGAATATTGTTCACTCTATTCAGCTACATAAACGTTGTTGGTAACAGTTGCTCTCACAGACTTGACATCAGAACACAAAGTAGAGCCCTAGTGGTTTGGCTCAATGGTTAGAGCGTGGGTCCTCAGACTGAAGGGTTCAATTCCGGTCTAGGGCACGTACCTTGGTTGCAGGCTCGATCCCCAACCCCAGTCAGGGCGAGTGCAAGAGGCAACCAATTGATGTCTGTCTGTCTGTCTCTCTCTCCCCTCCTTCCACTCTCTCTGAAAAGCAATGGAAAAAATATCCTCGAGTGAAGATTTAAAACAGACAAACCACAAAGTAGATCAAGTAGAAGAACAACTAGATCCTAGCCAGTGATACAGGGCATATACAGTAGACCCTTGAACAACATCTGGGGATTAGGAGCACCAACCCCCCTGTGCAGTTGAAAATCTGCCATGGCTCCCGCAAAACTTAACTAACCTCAGTACCCACAGAGGACTGGCTCATGGATCCCCGTAGATACCAAAGTCCACAGATGGTCAAGTCCCTAAGTAAAATGGCATAGACCAATGCATACAGTTAGCCCTCCGCACCCACGAAGTCCCAAACATGGATCAAAAATGGTACAGGTATTTATGAAAAAATTCCATGTATAAGTGAACCAACACAGTTCAAACCCGTTTTTCAACAGCAATCTGTATATTAAAAGGGAAAAAATACAGGTGATATGATTGTCTACAAAGAAAGTCCTAAAGAATCTACAAAAAAAGTTACTACTAGAACTAGTAAATGAGATTACCACGGTCACAGGATACAAGGTCAACATAAAGTCAATTATATTTGTATATGCTTGTGATGAACACGAGGAAATTGAAATTTTTTAAAATTCTCACTCAATTTTTATTGACTTTTGGAGAGAGAGGAAGGGAAAGAGAAAGAGACAAACATCAATAGTTGCTTCCCACAGGTGCCCCAACTGGAGATTGAACTCTCAACCTAAGTATAGGCCATGACCAGGAATCAAACCTGCAACCTTTTGGTGTACAGAACGACGTTTAAACCAACTGAGCCACCCAGCCAGAGCAAAAAATTGAAATTTTAAAAAATACCGGTAAATCTAAAAAAATGTGTATTAAGTTTGGTACACTAAAGACAACAAAACACTCATGAAGAAATTAAAGATCTAGCCCTGGCTCATGTGGCTCAGTTGGTTGGGTATTGTCCCATGCATCGAAAGGTTGCTGTTGGATTACCGGTTGTGAGTTCAATCCCCAGTGGGGGGCGTGCAGATAATCACCCTTAAATATTTAACCATTATAAGTAAGGCCTTATTTTTCCTCCAACAAATATATATGAGCTTTTTTCCTATCTGCTCATAATTTTTCCATTTCTACTAAGTTTATGATTATGTTCTAAAGCAGTGGTTCTCAAAGTGTGATCTGAGGTTCCCTGGGGATCCCCTTTTCTAACTACATTTGTGAGCCTGCTTTTTCTAAGTACATTTCTATGTATGGCCAGATTTTCTTTACATGCTTCAACCAAAACAATATATCCCAAAGGACAAATGCAGAAGCAGATAGGAGAATCTAGTTGTGATGGTTAATTTTATGTGTCAACTTGACTGGACCATAGGGTGCCCAGATATCTGGCTAAACATTATAGTGGGCGTGTCTGTGAGTGTGTGTCTGGATGAGATTAACATTTGATCCACAGACTGAGTAAAGCAGACTGCCATTTACAATGTGGGCAGGCCTCATCCAATCCATTAAAGGCCTGAATAGAACAAAAAGCTGAGTAACAGAGAATTCCTTCTCTCTAACTAATGGTCTTTGAGCTGGGACATTGGCTCCCTCTGCCTTTGGACTTGGACTCAGAATGAACATAAAATATCAGCTGGCCTGGTCCTCAGGCCTTTAGACTCAGACTGTAACTATACTATCAGCTCTCCTGAGTCACCAAGTCACAGATATTGGGAGTTCTCAGCCTCCATGATTACATGAGCATATATATATATATACCTTTCTTCCTTCTTCCCCCTTCCCTTCCCTTCTTCCCTTCCCTTCCCTTCCCTTCCCTTCCCTTTCTTTCCATATATATAGTATATATATGTCTCCCACTGGTTCTATTTTTCTAATAGACCATCTGTTTCCTATTAAGTCTGACATTAAAGAAATATGTAAAAATGTAAAACAATGTCACTCTTCCAACTAATTTTGTTTATTTGGGAAAATAGTCATTTTTCACTTTAAAATACATTATTTATGTTAATATATAATGGGTTTGGTATTTTAAAATAAATATTTTTAAGTGCTTTAATTTTTACTAAGCTAAATATCAATATAGATAACCCATATAAACAAAGCTTTTTAAAATACTTTTGAAGACTGTAAAGGAGTCCTGAGACCAAAAAAAAAGAAGTCCTGTTCTATATAATTAAGGTTGCCAAAGATATCTTAGAGAAATGGAATATTAAAGTAATTCACCTCTTTCCATTCTTCACAGCTAAGAATTTCTCATGCTGCTTACCAAAAGAAAGTTTGCCAGTTACATAAGACATACCTGATCATCCCCAGAACCCCACTGAGCTGTTTTTTCCAAAGAGACCACATTAAAATCAGAAATCTGTGTACTACTATTGTCTTGATATGATGACTGTTGCCATACATGACTGGTCAATGGAACAACCTGAAAATCAAAAGCAGATTTAAATAGAGTAGTAACAAAATCTAACACTTAGATTATATTTCTCAATTTATAAAACATTTTCATATATATAACATTTCAACATCACAATCACTATTCAAATTATTATCTTCACTTAAAAATAAGGAAGCATGAATTTATGGTTGTCCTGTTAGGACTCAACATGCTTTCCAATAAACCATAGCAGTTCCTTAACTTCCTATAACCTCAGAGGTAAAAGAAGGAAGCAGAAACAAGCAAATTATATGTTTAAAATCTTAATGTTTGAGACACCTAAGAAATTAGCTCTAATAATGACTAAAATAAAAGACAAGTTCACTTGTGAAATTGGCTTGAAACAGGGCTCTCCCACTTGTAGAAGACAGCAATAAAAGCAGTGACTGCTGCCTAAGGCTAAAACAATGCAAATGAAAAAGATCACAGGCACCAGGCAGCATGGCTCTGTGGTTGAGCACTGACCTATGATCCAGGAGATCAAAGTTCAATTCCTGGGACAGTGCATGTATTGGGGTTTTGGGCTCAATCCCCAGCAGGGAGCAAGCAGATTCTCTCTCATCATTCATGTTTCTATCTTTTCCTCTCTCTGAAATCAATAAAAATATATTTTTAAAGAAAAAGATCAGAGGCAATCAAACAAAAATGAACGAGGTCAAGTCACTCACTGGTTCAGGGGCTGGCTGTTAAGATTTTACCCAATATCCCTGAAGTACAAAAACCCAAAGCTGCCAATATTAGACTTCCTCCTAAAGAAGCAGATATAAGGGGCAAGGCAGAGACAACCACAAAACACCAGGTAGAGATGGGTGTGCCAAAAAACAAAACAAAACACCCCTGCTAAAAATGAGATTACAAACTATACTTTCAAAAGACATTTTTATTTACTGAATAGATCTTCCAGACAAAAAAATCAACAAGGAAACAGTAACTGTCAATGACACATTAAATCAGATGGATTTAATTGACATTTATAAAACATTTCACCCCAAAGCTACAGAATATACATTCTCCTCAAGTGCACATGGGACATTCTCAAAGATAGACCACCTGTTAGAACACAAAGCAAGTCTCTACAAGTTGCAGGCTTGATCCCCAGTAGGGGGCGTGCAGGAGGCAGCCAATCAATGACTCATTATTGATGTTTCCATCTCTCCCTTTCTCTCTCTGAAATCAGTAAATATATATATATATACACATATATATACACACACACACACACACACACACACATATATATATATATATTAAAAAAAAGAAGATTGAAATGATATCAAGCATCTTCTCCAACATTTACACCATGGAATACTATGCAGGATCCCTTACCCTTTGGGAGAGCACAGTGGGACCTGGAGAGTATTACGCTAAGTGAAATAAGCCAGTCAGAGAAAGACAAATATCACATGATCTTACTCATATGTGGAATTTAATGAACAAAATAAACCAATGAACAAAATATATCCAGAGACATAGAAGCATGGAACAGACTGATGAATCTCAAGCAAAGGCAGGGGTGGGGAGATGGGGAGAGATTAACCTAAGAACTTATATGCATATATGCATAACCCCTGGACACAGACAATGGTGTGGTGAAGGCCTGGAGCAGGTGGAGTGCAGGGTAGAGGGGTTTAATGGGGGGAAAAGGGGACATTTGTAATACTTTCAACAATAAAAATGAATTAAAACATTTTTTAAAAAGATTTTTAAAATAAGAATATCACAGATTCTCAAAGAGATAAAGAAGACACAATGTCCATAAAAAAAGGAAGCTGCTCTAAAGCAGCTACTGTTGTGATAACTTGGTTATTATTTAACAGGAAAGGAAAAAAGGGAAAACTAAATATAGGGATGTCATTTACACAGCTTTGACAAAAGGCTGCATTTAATATTCTCCAAGTCTATTCCTGCTGATTAAGGGGGAAGGGACTAGACAAAGGCAGTTTAGACACATGCCCACTAAGGTCTGAGTAATGTGGGAAAATGCTTGCCCATCAATCACACCTGGAAACAGGTAATTGGACAGGATAGGCGTGGTCACTGCAAGAGTACAAAATCTAAATATATAAACTTCTAGACAAAGGAGCCACTGTCTTGGCTCCAGGGCACCAGGCCCTTATGGGACTCCAGCTGCAGGGGGTTGTGCTCCCGTGTGCACAGAGCCCACGGCCATGTTGGGCTCCACATGTGGACTAAAGGAGGATTTAGTCTGAATGCTGAACACCCGACTACAAACATGGAATGGAAACTCTGGACACTGGCCCTGTTTCTCACTTTGCTAAACTCCCAGCTGCACCTTTTCCAGGACTGACTTAAGGAGCAGGGGACTTTGGAACCCAAAAAATGTAACTCCATGCAAATAAAGCCTACTTCCACATACCATCCTTCCATGGGGGCTTCTGAAAATGCTTCTTTCAGTGGGACCCCAAGAGCCTCACTCCCACTCATGTCTGGGAAGTCTGGCCCTTTCATTCCTCCAGTATCACTGAGTCAAAAAGATGAATGCTAATAAAATATTAACGACAAATGAGAAAGTGCCTCTGAAGGAAACCCGTCATTAGATATTTTTCCTGAGTTAAAACACTGCTACTATACTAACATTTTTATAGAGCACTTACAACAAGGTGGTTTTGGTCATAGAAAGACCAGTTTAATTGAAAACCTATTCAATAAATAAAGAAAAAGAAGAGAGATTCCTAAGATATCAAGTCTTCCAAGAGGTTTTTCTCAAACTATAGAGCACCATGGAGCATACACACATTGCTTAATGGCAATTCGTAAGAGAGAAAGAATAAAAAACAAAGAAAGCTGTTTTGTGAACTAATTTTGGCAATGTAAAGTTCCTAAATATATAACAATACAGCCAATGTTTTGGCACGGCTAGTTTTCTTTAAGCCCTCCAGAAAAGAATGCAAAAGTAAAAATTCAAAATGGCTATTCACTGCAATTAAATAATGCTGGGCGTGGAGCATGAGGAGTCTTGCCTTTGAAAACAGTTGATTCACAATAGCTTACAAGAGAGGGTTCAATTCATTAGAATATTTGTAGAAAACTAATGATATATGAAGAAACTAGCACTTTGATAATTAACCCAATGTATGAGAAAAAGAACACTCCTCCTCACTTTATCAGCTGAAAGAAAACCCAAAGTTAAAATTAAATGTTAAATGTTCTTACTAAAAAATGAACTTCCCAGAACTCCTGATTTTTATTATCTACCTGATTGTTTAAGCTTCATCAAAGAATTAATTTCTAAATATGTATGTCTTATCAGCTTTCCCACAGTTGCCTCTGAATAGTAGGGTTACCCAAATACTTGACAGAGGATTCTTAAATTAAGTGCTTCAAAACTAAGGAGGTGTCATCAGCAATTCTCTGAGATTAAATACCTTTGGATATAAATTAAGTTTTAGAGTCCTTCCCTGAGCCAGTTTTTAATATTAAAAGTTAATGGACTTCTGTCCAGTTGCTTAATTACTTGGAGCATCGTCCCATACACTAAAAGGTTGTGGGTTCAACCCTGAGTCAGGACACATGCAGGAGGCAACCGATCGATGTCTGTCTGTCTCTCTCTCTCCCTTCCTCTCTGCTTAAAAATCAATAAAAACATATTCTCCGGTTGAGGACTAAACATTTAAACAAGTTAATAGACTTCCAACTATATGCTGTATAGAAGAGAAATAGTTTAGATCTAAAGACACATATTGGCTGAAAGTGAAAGGACAGAAAAGAATTTCATGCAAAGGGTAGCCAAAAGAGGACAGCAGTATCTATGCTAGTATCAGACAGAAAGACTTTATTTTTATTTTTTTAAATACAATTTTACTTTCTTTTATATGTTTTTATTGATTTTTTTAGAGACGGAGAAAGGGAAAGGGATAGAGACACATCCATGAGAGAGACACACAGGTTGTCTGCCTCCTGTGCAGCCCCTACTGGGGATCAAGCCTGCAACCCAGGCACGTGCCCCAAACCAGGAATCGAACTGGTGACCTCCTGGTTCATGAGCTGACACTTAACCACTGAGCAACATCGGCCAGGCCAGACAAAAAGACTTTAAATCAATAACTGTTACAAGAGACAGAGAAGGACATTATAACAAAAGGTTCAATTCACCAAGAAGGTATAACAAGTATTTATGCACCAAACCTCAGAGCTCCTAAATTAAATCAATGAGGCAAAGTTTGAAAGAACAGAAGAGAAAAATACACAAATACACATAAACACATTATTAAGAGACTTCAATACCCCACTTTCAATAATGGATAGAACAATCAGGAGAACAAGGAGATAAGAGGAACTGAACAACTCTATAGACTGCTGCACCGAACAGAAATATACAGAACACTCCACCCAACAACAGCAGAATATACATTTCTCTAGTATACATGAAACATCCTTCAGGAAAGAATACATAAGGCACAAAGCAAATCTTTTTCTTTTTTTTTAAAATATATCTTTATTGATTTCAGAGAGAGGAAAGGAGAGGGAGAGGGAGAGAAACATCAATGATGAGAGAGTCGCTGATCTGCTGCCTCCTGCACGCCCCCTACTGGGGATCGAGTCCGCAACCCAGGCATGTGCCCTGACCGCGAATCAAACCCCAATCTCCTGGATCCTAGGTCAATGCTCAACCGCTGAGCCACACCAGCCCAGCAACACAAAGCAAGTCTTATCAAATTCAAGAAGATTGAAATCATACACACTATCTCTTCTAATCAAATGGAATGAAACTAGATATCAATAGCACAAGAAAAACTGGAAATCCCATACCAATATACTCTTAGAAAAACAATGGGTCAAATAAGAAGTCACAAGGGAAACGAGAAAATTCTTTGACACAATGAAAATTTAAAAATACCAAAACTTATGGGATGCAACAAAGGCAAAGATAAGAGGAAGTTTATGGCTAGCTCTAAGGGTATATACATGTTTTTTAAATAAGCAAGATCAGCCCTGGCCAGTGTGGCTCAGTTGGCTGGAGCATCGTCCATACAACAGAAGGTAGGTTCGAATGTGCCAGTCAGGGAACATCTCCAGTTGGGGTGCGTGCGGGAGCCAGCTGACTGATGTTTCTCTCTCTTGCTCTCTCTCTCAAATAAATTTTTTAAAAAATTAAAAATGAATAAATAAAATAAGCAAGATCACAAATTCACAACCTATAACATACATCAAGGAACTAGAAGAAAAACAAACTAAACCTAAAGCAGGAAGAAGGAAGAAAATAATAAAGATTAGGACACAAATAAACAAAATAGTGAGTAGGAAAAAATTAAACTGAATTTTTAATATCAATAAAACTGACAACCCCTTAGCTAGACTAGGAAAAAATATTCAAAAATATATATTCAAATAAAAATCAGAAATGAAAGAGAGAATATTACAATCAATACCACAAAAATAAGAGAGAGTACTATGAATGTTACACCAACAGAGAGCCAAGAAAAAAATTCATAATTCCTAGAAACACACAACCTACCAAGATTGAATCATGAATAGAAAAATCTGAATAAACCTATAACTAGAGAGATTAAATCAGTAACAAAAAAAACCTCCCAGTACAGAAAATCCAAAGACCAGATGGCTTTACTCCACAATCCTACCAAACATTTAAAGAAATAACACCAATTCTCATGACACTTAAAAAAACTGAAGAAACACTTCCTAACTTATTCTATGAGGCCAGATTATCCTGATACAGATAGCCAGATGCAGATACTACAAGAAAAAAACAACAAAAAACACTATAGACCACTATCCCCCTAATAGATAATGATGCAAAAGTCCTCAACAAAATACTAGCACACAGAATTCACAGCACATTATAAAGATTATACAACATGATCAAGTGAGATTTAAACCTGGAATTCACAGATAGTTCAACATATAAAAATATGGAAAAATTAACAGTTAAAATGTCAATAGTACCAAAAGCCATCTATAGATTCAGTTCTTTTGGATATATACCCAGAAGCGGGATCATATGGTAGTCCTATTTTTAATTACCTGAGTAACCTTTGTACTGTTTTTCATGGTGGTTGCACCATTTTTTTTTTTTTTAAATATATCTTTATTGATTTCAGAGAGAGGAAAGGAGAGGGAGAGAGATAGAAACATCAATGATGAGAGAGTCATTGATCGGCTGCAGCCCGAAACCCGGGCATGTGCCCTGACCAGGAACTGAACCCCGATTGCCTGGATCCTAGGTCAACGCTCAACCGCTGAGCCACGCCCAGCCTGGAGGTTGCACCATTTTATATCCTACCAATAAGGGTTCCAATTTTTCAATATCCTGGCCAACAATTATTATTATTACTATTATTATTATTATTGGCCATCCCGATTAGTGTAAGGTGATATCTAAATGTACTTTTGATTTGCATTTCTCTGCTGATTAGTGATGTTAAGCATCTTTTCATGTGCTTATTGGCCATTTGTGTATCTTTGGAGAAATGTCTACTTAAGTTCTTTGCCCATTTGTTAATCTGATTGTGTTTATTTTTTGTTACTGAGTTTTAGGAGTTATCTATATATTCTGAATGTTACTCCTTATCAGACATATGATTTGCAAATATTTCCCCCCATTGGGTGGGTTGCCTTTTTACTGTTAGCAGTGTCTTCTGATATTCAAATTTTAAAATTTTTCATGAAATCCAATTTGTCTGTTGTTTTGTTTGTTTTTGTTGCCCATGACTTTGGTATCATAGCTAAGAAATCATTGCCAAACCTACTGTCACGTAGTTTTTGCCCTATGTTTTCTTCTAAGAGTTTATAATTTTGCGTCTTACATTTAGGTCTTTGATCGATTTTGAGTTAATTTTTGTATATGGTGTTAGAAAACAGTCTAACTTCATTCTTTTGTATGTGGATATCCAATTTTTCCTGCACCATTTGTTGAAAAGACTATCCTTTCCCATTGAACGGTCTTGGCACCCTTGTCAAAAATCATTTGACCATCTATGTGAGGGTTTATTTCTGGGCTCTATATTCTATTTCATTGGTATATTTCAGCAATTTGCAACCCGTGTGCTGCAAGAATTTTTAAAACATGCAATACCTGACTATTTAGTCAGGGGCACTGACCTCTCTTCTCGTAGATTGTCAAACAAAAAAATGACAACGGCCAACACAACTACAGCTGTCCAGTATGAGTGAATCAAAATTATACCTATTTTTTTTTGTCAGATCTGCAAAAAATACATATTTTTGGTGTGCCATAGAATTTTAGTAATTAATTTATGTGTGCCATGAGATGAAAAAGGTTCCTCCACACTGTTTTCCATAGTGGCTGCACCAGTTGATCAACTGATTTTCGACAAGGGTGCTAAAACTTATCAGTTGGGAAAGAAGAGCCTCTTCAACAAATGGTGTTGGGACAAGTAGGTAGCCACGTACAAAAAAATGAAATTGAACTCTTTCCTCACACCACATACAACAATTAGCTCAACATGGTGAACACACAATACAATATACAGATAATGTATTGTAGAATTGTATACCTGAAACCTATACAATTTTATTAACCCGTCACCCCAATAAATTCAATAAATAAGTAAATAAAGTAATTGTTGATAAAAAAAAAATTAACTCAAAATTGATCAAAGACCTATATGTAAGAGCAATAACTTGTAAAAACTCTTAGAGAAAACATAAGGGTAAATCTTCATGATTTCACATTTGGCAATAGGTTCTAAAATATGACACCAAAAGTATGAGCAACAAAAGAAAAAAAGATAAATTGAACTTCACATTCTTGAACACTATCAAGAATCTAGGTTGTGGGCTCGATCCCCAGTAGGGGGCATGCAAGAGGCAGCAGATCAATGACTCTCATCATTGATGTCTATTTCTCCCTCTCTCTGGAATCAATAAAAACACAGTATTTAAATAAATAAAAAATTGTGAAGTGTCAATAAATTTGGAGATAGGGGACAGGTTCACCAAGGTTCCTTAACATCCAGCACAATGCATGGCCAGTGGTGAATGCTCAATGAATTAAAGGCCCACTGGAATATTTACCAGGCAAAACAACTAGTATTCTTTAATGCTCAACAGTCCATAGCATCACTGACCAACAGAACCTTCTGTGATGATGAAACTATTCTATTATCTGCATTGTCCAATAGGGCAGCCACTAGTCAAGTGTGGCTACTGAGCACTTGAAAAACGATTAGTACATACAACAGAGGCACTGACCTTTTTACTTGCTTTTTAACTAATTAAGATTTAAAGAGCCACATGTGGCTAGTGACTACTGGACTGAACACAGCACAGGTCTATCTATAAAGTCTTTCCCCTGTCTTTCCAATTTTTGTACTTTTGTCGTTTCACTCTGTTCATATCTCGTCTAAGGGCAGTCCTAAACAATAAACCCTAGGCTTCCTTTTTGTCCCCACAATGTACGCGTTGTAGAGGACAGAAACTTAATGATAGCTTGATGTCCGAATTGTATAGCAAACCTTTTTTACTCTCTGAAAAGTAATCAATTAAATGCAAGTATTTTCAAAATGATCTTCAGGAGCCGACCATAATAACAGCTCGCTCTTCACTGCATGTTACCTTGAGCTTTACTTTTCCAGGCTGGAGCTGTGGCAAAAGCCTCCAACGTTTCTAAGCCCCTCCTACCTCCTGGGGTTCCCTTTATTGCTACAAACGAGGGTCCAGAGAAGCACAATCCACGAGGAGTCCCTAAAGACTACTCGTGCAATGTACATAACACACTGCTCCCTCGGGGGAGTCCTGCACTCAGGTAAATTAATCTCCTAACTGTCTTCCCAACAAGATACTCCATGGGCAACCAGCACTCCGACACCGTCCTTTTCTCCCTCCTTCGGGGCAGGATAAGCCCCACCTCCTCCCAAAAGCTTTCCTTAACTACACAAGCTGGGGATACTGGCTCCTTTGAACGTCTGGTGTAATTCAAAAGGCCCGGGACCCACCGAGGGGGAGAAACAACAGAGGTCTCTGCCAGAAAGAACGGGAAACTGTAGTAGTCAGCCAGAACCAGAGCAAGAGTCAAGATAGCTTTTACAAGCGTCTAAAAGCGCGATTATGTGTCAAGCACGGTGACAGGCAGCACGCAGGAGGCAGCAGGGTCGGAGAGCTGGCAGAGCGCTCAGGGGCAACCGGTCACCCTGCCCCGACGGCGGCCCACACCTCTCCCCCGCCAGGCCCACCTTCTCCGGGCCGGGCCGCTCGCCCTCGGCGTAGCGGTGCTTCGGCAGCGACGGCGGAGGCAAAGTCCCGCTGGGGTGCGCCTGCAGCCAGGCCTTGGCCTCGTCGTCGTCCTCCTCGTCGGTACTCTCCCGAAGCTGGCTCTCGTAGTTCAAGTCCGTGTCCAGTTCCCGCCGCTCCTCTTCCTCCACATCCTCCACCATCACCACCTCGTCCTCACCCGAGTTCTCCGCCTCCTTCTCCTCCTCTTCCTCTCCCTCCTCCCCCTCCTCCTCCTCGAGCTCGCCCGGCCACGGCAGGTCCTCAGGCTCCATATTGGCGTCTCGCTCTCCAAGGCTGAGGAGGAGGGGGAGAG